GAGGACAGGCTACAGGACCTGAACCTGTTCAGCCTCCACAAGAGAAGGCTGAGGGGGGATCTAGTGGCCATTTACAAACTAGTCAGGGGGGACCAGCAGGCATTGGGGGAGTCACTGTTCCCCCGAGCACTGCCAGGAGTGACTAGAAATAACGGTCACAAGCTGGCAGAGGGCAGATTCAGGCTAGACATCAGGAGGCGCTACTTCACGGTCAGGGCGGCTAGGATCTGGAACCAACTTCCAAGGGAAGTGGTGCTGGCTCCTACCCTGGGGGTCTTTAAGAGGAGGCTAGATGAACACTTTGCTGGGGTCATTTGACCCCAGTACTCTTTTCTGCCATGGCAGGGGGTCGGACTCAGGTCCCTTCCGACCCTACAAACTATGAAACTGGGTTTTCAATTGATTTAAATAGATCAGATACCAGTTTTGAAAATCCCTTTCCATTTGAGTCTGTTTGGCATTCCAAAAGCAATTTATACCTATACAAATTTATTAAAAAAATATTATCTCAGGACCTACTAAGAATTGCCAACTGAACAAATAAAGACATTGCAGTTAGCATGCTGCTTATTTATTTTTACTGAATTACAGGTGAAAGGCAGTTATTTATGATAACACTTTGTCATGTTTACTGAGTCAGGTACAAAGCTCCTTCTAAAAAAAATCTATTCTGACAGGCTTGCTCATTCTCTAAAATACATTATACAACTGCCAAACACACTTTGTACAAGCAACTAGTCAAAACTGGAACCAATATAAAGAAAGAACCCTAGGGTTGCAGATTAACTTTACTAGAAGTACTTTTAAGCACATGTCATGATTATGTAAAAAAAATCTCACGGGGCTGCTTAACAAACAAAGGCTATTTGATGAAAGCAAACATCTCATTCACAAGTCATTTTCACTGAACAGTGGCATCATTTGTTTGGCTCTATCCGTGTCATAATTAACAGAAAGGTGGCCAAACATTTCAGATTCTGAACCACAGCAGTCCCTAAACCTGTTCACCTCTGCACCCACAAGCCTCTGGCCCTTTGCTCTCTCCTTGTCTACTCATTCTAATTCACTTCCACAAAAAGTTTGGGAGAGGAAATAGTTAACACTTTCCAAAGTTTGACTTGTGGCAAGAGGAGCAAACAGACAGAGGCAATTACATGCCTAGCAAAGAACAATGCAGCAGTGTAGCTTGGATGTGGAGGGCCAGATGTGTTCATTTCTACTGCTGTGAAAAGGACCTGGTCCAAGAAGTAATGGAAAGGACCCTTTGACCACCCACTGATAAAACTACAAGGATGAAGTGGAAGCTGGAAAACGCACGTAACAGAAAGAACTTAAAGGGGGAATAAACTAAATACAGATTTGGTGTTTTATATAGTGCTGCAAGACCTTCAAACAGAAATGCCAGTCCTGTGGATGCTTATACATTTGATTCTCTTAACCCACATGAGCCATCTACCCATCTGGAGCTAGACTATTCTCAGTGGAACTAGTCTGTTAGCTACACCGCTCTCAGTAGACTGGAGCTAGACCAGGGGTGGTCAAAATGCAGCCTGCCAGGCCATTCCATCTGGCCCACAGGGCCCCTAAAAAATTTAGAAAATTAATATTTAGCTGCCCCTGGCTGCCTGTCATGTGGCCCTCGACGGCTTGCCAAAACTCAGTAAACCTGAAACATGCCTGAAATAATTGCCCACCCCCTGAGCTAGACCATCTACCCATCTGGAGCTAAGCTGTTCTCAGTGGTGGCAGATGACACAACAAGGAGCAACAGTTTCAAGTTGCAGCAAGGGAAGTTTAGGTTAGATATAAGGAAGAATTTTCTCACTAGAAGGGTAGTAAAACACTGGAACAGGTTACCCAAAGAGGTGGTGGAAGCTCCATCCTTGGAGGTTTTTAAGACCCAGCTAGACAAAGCCTTGGCTGGGGTGATCTAGTTGGGTATGGTCCTGCTTTGAGCATGGGTCAAACCATTTCAGTTGTTCTCAACCTTTTTTATTGCAGGACCCATTTATAAACATCAATGGCCAGTCCAGACACAGTGCCCCTCACTCTTGACCTGCTGCACCCCCCCACCCACCCCTAGCCTCCCAGTGTGTGGGATGGGGGGCAAGCAGCCCCTTGCAGGCTGGAACTCTGTCAACCTGCAAGGGAAAAGGCACAGTTTCCCACATTTTTCTCCTTTAAAGGAGAATCCATTTTTAAAGTTTGTTGATCCATTTTTAAGGTCTGTTCGCAACCCTTACATATATTCTTGCAACCTTGAGGTTGAGAAATGCTGGACTAGATGACCTCCTGAGGTCCCTCCCAACCCTAATTTTCTATGATTCTATACCCTTTTGAAGTGATGGAGATCACTCATGTAAGCAAAGTCCAGCAAGGTAAATAAAAGAAAGCCTATGGAAGAGCTGGTGCCCAGATTTTCTGTGTCTGAATTTTCCTTCAGCGAGTGAGTCCAGGTGCAGACCTGACAAGTCTTCCTTATTTGGGGGTGTTGGTTGTAACTGTGCTGGTCTAAGGACATAGGCAGACAAGGATCTTACACCTGCACCTCCAGAAATGTAATGCATCTCATGCAGTACACTACATGCCCTAATGGAAAATATGTAGGAAAAACCAAACAACTGCACACCAGAATGAATGCACACCAAAAATCTATCAAAGAGAAAAATACCCAGTTACCTGTGGGTGCACACTTCTCACAAGGCAACCATGCTCTCTCCAATCTCTCAGTTCTAATCCTCAAAGGGAATTTACAAAACACCTTTCATATATCAGCCTATACTCTTCACTTGATAAATCTACTGGAAACAAAAACATCATGGACTAAATAGAGACATTGGATTTGTGGCACATTATAACTTGCCTGCCACCCGATAACCCAAGGTAACCTGCCTGCACACTATAACCTGCCTGCCATCCGATAACCCCAGGTAACTTCTCTACTTTTTACCAGCTACATGCTATAATCAGGTCAACATTCCCCCCACCTATCATCTCCTATCACCTCTGATCTGCACTGCCACACATTTGCATTTTTACAGACCTGCATTTTGCATATTAGCTTAAGCTTCTCTTCCACCCAGGAGAGCACAAAAACACCAGCAGACTCTCCCTATGCCTGAAGAAGGGTGTTTGTGCCCAAAAGCTTTCAAAGGACAATGTTTCCAACGATTTAGTTGGCCTAACGAAAGATAACCTCATCTGTCTTATTTGGGGTTCACTAAAGATGATTAAGTTTCTCATTTGCAAGGCAAAGCAATCGGGGCTCATAATAGAGGTGATATCGTTTGCAAGGAAGGATTTGCCAAGTCTTCTGAACAGGCATTTTTCAAAACAGCTTAAGCAGTTTACAGAAACACTTCAGTCGGAACTGGGCACCTTAGCTGCTTAGGTGCCTTTGAAAGGTTTGAATGTCTGGAGTTTGTCGTGTCACTGTTACAAACGCAGCTTTCTACTGACCCCAACAGAACCTTCATATATGCTAGTGACAGAATTATCAAGACCCTCCATTGCTTTGTTTCCTTTCATGCAATCTGCCACAACAGCAAAGGAGCTTGTCAACATCAGCCTCCCTCCTCCCAAAGGAAATCAGCACTGCTTTCCTAGTCATTTGAAGAAAATCTCTCACCAAGCCTCACAAACTGCTGCTGGGAAGGCAGTGCCCTGTAAAGGAGATACAATTTCAGTTGGAATATTTTCCCTGGAGCCCATAGTTAAGATACAGCGCTTTACAAATTACATAATCGGGAGCAGAAAGAGGCACACTTAAAAGCAGGAATATAGATGTTTGAAGAGAAGGAAGTGAGGGCATGTCTCAGCAGAACAGCAAATAACTGTACTCAGAGGTGAACAGCAGATGACTCCCAAGGTGGAGGAAGGGTGCAAGAGGACATCTCAAGTCAGACTAGAGGGAGGACACATGCCCGATGCCTCCCAAAGATGCGCAGGGTGGGAGATGGTGTGGAGGGGGTAGAAGTAGGATGCTCATCCCAGATAAGAGAGAACAAC